ACCTCTTCAAAAAAATACCAGAATGGCTAGAGGTGTCCAAAAGTCCCGAACTGAACTGAACCGGACCAAACCGAACCCGAACCGAACCGAATCGAGCGGTTCTTCATAAATTAAATACCCGAACAGGTACCCGAATCGAGAATCGATGGGTTTGGGCCGGGTCTCGGGTCTAGACCAAGAATCAAAGAATCGAATAAGAACCAAAACTAAATAATTTTTTTATTTTTTATATTGAATTAATTAAATTATTTTATTTTTTTCTAAACAAGTTAACAAATTAATTAAATAAATCAAATTATTTCATAATTTTAATTTTAAAACCCAAATCATTTTTAAAACCCACTAGCTCATTTTAATTTGAAACAAATGAATACTTTATGTAGTGTTGCTGTAATATTAATATCTACTTTTTGGTATTTGTATGCATTGAATTAATTTTATTGGACGACTAGTTATTTATATGTTTTTGAATTGGACACGTTAATTTGTAAAAGTTATGATGAAATGTCATTAGTTGTATTTATGCAGTGTTGCTGTAAATATTAAAAAAATCAATTATGGTATGGAACCGAATCAACTCGAACCGAACCCAAACGGTTCCATAATTATATTTGGACTCGACGGTTCCATTTATTAAATACCCGAAAGTTTTGGGTCAATTCGGGTCTCTTCAAAATTGAATCGAACCGATCCACAGACAATTCTACTTCTATTACCATTCTCTTTTGTTATTTTGACACAAAACATATATAGGGAAGTTTTCATAACCAAGAGATTTAGTTTTACCAATTTCAAATTTAAAAGATTATGTTTAAAATTTCAAATTTTAGAGTTTTTCAAATTTTATTTTTAAATTAATTAATTAAACATATATTTTATTAATTAAATATATTAATGTCACAATTCCATTTAATTTAATTTGGTCACAAATTCCATATAATTGGTCACATATTATTAATTGGTCACAAATCACAATTTTCATATATCACAAATTATTTTACGGTCACAATTTAAAAAATTTATAGGTCACAATTTGTTCATCGGTCACAAATATATCAAATTAATAAGTCACATATTATTCATTCATCACAAATTACAAATTTTATATGTCACAAATTTTTTTACGGTCACAATTCAAAAATTTTATAGATTACAATTTGTTCATCGCTCACAAATCAAAAATTGAAACGTCACATTTTATTTTTAGGTCACAAATCTCAAATATTATAAGTCACCATTTAATGGACAGTCACAAATTGTTAAATTATAGATCACAAATTAACAGTGTTTTAGGTCATACATTTTTTTGTCACAATTTATCTTTTTCATTCAAATTATCGATCACAAATTAACAATTTTTTAGGTCACACGTTTTTTTCTTGTCACAATTTATCTTTTCCATTGATCACATATTATTTATTGGTCACATATTAACCAATTAAGTAGTCACAATCAACCAAATAATTTGTGACCACAACAACACTTGTGATTATCATTACACCACTCCCTCCAACGGCACCACTGTCACCACCACCACCTCATGATAGCAACACCACCACCACCACCACCTTAAACGAATCAACATATTGCGAAAAACACCACGACGTCGTCGCACTGATCCACCGCACCCTCCATGACCATTTTTGCAACACCATCATCACCACACCGCACTAGCAGCACCACCTCATCAACAAAACTATCGCCCAACCACCTCACCACCACAACCACCAACACCGTTGCCACCACTACTTCACCACAACTAGAACGCCGGTGGTTGTGTGCAGTTGCTCTAAGATCAGATCCAAAAATCAGAACGTTTGGCGACTTCTGTCGGCTCTACTCCGCCATCGCTGCTGCTTCTCAACCAGTCTTATTCATGTTTCTGCTTGACCTTGCCTTCGTCCAGCTCCGATGGATGCTCCACGATCGAAGGCTGGATGGTAGCAGATCTACGGACGGCAGCAACGACTCCATGGTGGTGGCACAACAGAGAGATGTTGACCGGCTATTCGATGAGAGAGAGAGAGCCTAACATCGACGATGCTCCGGTGGTGGCACAACAGAGAGAAAGAGAGGGGGGAGGGGAAGAAGGGGATAAAATTAGGGTTCTAGGTTTGGGTAATTATGATTTAGAAAGATAAGATAGATGAAATAGGTGAATTAATATTTGATTTTTTATAAGTAAAGTTTATATCTGAAATTTGAACTTTAAAATTCTGACTTTTTGTAATTTCCTCAAATATATATATATATATATATATTTTTTTTTTTATTTNAGAAGTAAATGAAGAAATATTTGAAGAAAAATCAGATTTAGAAGAAACGTCTAGTGATGATGAATAAAAACAAGAATAAAACTAATTTCGAAAAAATTATAAAGATTGAGGACTTGATCTGCAATAAATGATCAATTTCATTAAGGGTAAAACTGACTTTTAACAAAAATCTTAAAAAGTCACTATTCACATGCTATTTTGGAAAATCCCCCTGTGCTAATGATGATGACTCTTCTACAACTCCTTCCTTTTATTATTTTTAAGCTAATCAACAAAAACCGAGAAAAAAATAAAAAAAATGCAAAAAAATCACTTCAAGTCATTTGGGAGAAATAAGGTTTTAAATTATAAAAAAATAAATTAAGAACGAAAAGAGAGATTTTCTCAATTCTCATCCCCAGAGAGAAAGATGATCGAGAAAACAGCACCTTTTCATCAAACTGGAAAACCCCTCAGACAACCCATTGTTCTCGCTATCATAATCTACTACCTCACATCCCAAACCTCACTTTCACTCTTGCTTTCATCCCATCCTACGCCCCCTCCAATTCCAATTCTTCCCATTCCAACTTCACAGCAAATCTCATGGCAACTCACAGAAATGGCGATGTTCTTGCACTTTGGTACCAATACTTTCACAGACTCGGAGTGGGGTACAGGGCATGTAGATCCTTCTGTGTTCAACCCCACTGCATTAAATGCCTCGCAGTGGGTCAATGTGGCCAAAGACAACGGATTTTCAAGAGTTATATTGACTGTAAAACACCATGATGGATTCTGTCTTTGGCCCTCCGAGTATACTGATTATTCCGTGAAGTCTAGCTCTTGGAGAAATGGAACTGGTGATGTGGTGAAAGAGTTGACCGAAGCTGCTAAGAGTGCTGGAGTGCCTTTGGGAGTTTATCTTTCTCCTTGGGATAGACACGAGCCTACTTATGGGGAGACTCTTGACTACAACGAGTATTATATGGGGCAGATGACCGAGTTGCTCACTAGGTATGATAAAGTTTCTTGCTTTATGCTTCTTTTGTAGATTTATGATGTGGGTTCTGTTTACGTTTGAAGTAATTATTATTATTATTATTATTATTATTATTATTATTATGCTGTTAGAATTGTATTGTTTGGGAACTTTGCCTTATGGATTAGGAATTGATTTTGTGGGTTGATGTACTTATTAAATTTGGAAGGGCGTCTGATGTTTGGGCAATCGTGGAAATAATTGTTAGTTTCAGTTCTGTAATTGATTCATATGTGTTTAAGGACAGATTTTTTCTGGAAATAATTGCTAATTGGACTTGGTGAAGCAATTGAAGGCGTGAGTTGGACACTAACTAATTCACGAGTTTCTCAATTAGGAGTGCATTCTGTGTAATTATGTCAAGATGATGGTGATGGTCTTTATGACAAAGTTGTTTTACCGCTCAATTAGTACTTTTGGGTGGCACGGCATGAATACCACACAGCATTTTCGTTCTACTAGGATGAAACTGGGTCTACCAAGCGTGATTGATAATTAATACTCTGTAATGCTGTGCATCTTGATGGCTGAGTAAAATTGAGCAAAAAAATGTGTGGACCAACTTATTTGCCATTATTTCGCTTTCAGAAGCTAGTTTTGAGTTGTGACGTTCATGAAGTTTTTATATCAATGCCCTTGAGATTGGGTGTGACTTTAGGAGACATTCACCCATCCTTAAGGAAACCATACATTAAGGCTTAGCCCTTTTTTTTACTGTCATTCCTACCCTGTGAGATGTGCACCTGGCACGCTTATTGATTCTTGATGGTTTTGTCGAATTATCTTTGCCTAGGTCAAGTAATATATATTAGTCTGCTTTTTTCTTTAGATATGAAATGGACCAAACCCTGGTAGCATAGTCAGTTTTAGCCAAACTCAGGTAGATGTAATATGCTTCCTCCTCCATCTCCCTTTCATCTGCAAGTCTTCCTAATTTTTCCTATGTAACTTCACATTTAACAAGAAGGAAGAAGCTCAAACGGTAGAAAACTACATTCTTCTAATTGCCAAGAATGTAATTCTAGATTCCTTAGGTAATTATGACCTCGATATACTATTGCTTCTAGAAAAGGAACTAAAGCCTGTAGTCTTCTTCAAATTCAAATTTTCTTTCATATGCCAAATTATTTGATCTTATTGAGCATTTTTTTATCCATCTTTATGGTGTTGGATTTCCAAAAAATATACATGAAGCTCTAAATGTTAAATGGACAAAGAGCTATGAAAAAAAGTGGTGAATGGGAATTGGAACCAAAAGGTAAAAACAGTTGGCTGTGAGTGGATCTTTTCTGTCAAGTGTAAAGCTGATAGGAGTATAGAAGGATTTAATTCCAAGTTGATTGCTTAAGGATTCATAGTATTGATGATGAGGTAACTTTTGCTCCCATAGTTAGGTGAATATTGTTCAAATTTTATTATCTTTAGCTGCTAACTATTATTAGACTTTGCAACAACTCGAAGTAAAAAACACATTCCATAATGTTTGCTTTGAAAGATTTCCCAAAGCTGTTAAAGAATGGACTACACTCTAAGTCAAGGTATTGTACTTATATTTTTAAGCATGCAATGGATGGTCAGATTGCTATTCATATAGTTTATGTTGATGATAATCCTAATTGGTGATGTATCAGTTGAGATAGATGTATTGATGATATTTCTTGTTAAACATTGTAATGTTAATTACTGCTTGGAGAATAACGTGCAAGTTCAACTGATCTCAGGTTGCATCAAGTTCTACACCAGCATAATCTGAGAAATCCTTCTCATCCTAGATGGTGAATTTAGTATCCTTTTAGCTAATATCTGGCCTAGTAGAGGGCATAACTTTCATTTTCCTTTCAGATGTGTTTTCACCAATTGAGACCCTTCCAAATAATTTCCTCCATTGAGTTTGAACTCATCAGACATATTTTGAAACTCCCATAACCTAGGTTGTGAGTATTGTCTGGAGAAAATCAAGGTAGGTGTTACTTCAACTACTGGCGTTGATAATTCATGGATCTCTGAATAAAGGAGTTTCTCCGAACAAGATCAGAAAAAAAATTGTCTGATAATTAAGGTCAGATACTCAGAGATACCAGTGATTAAGGCTGGAACTATATGATTCAAATATTGGCAAATGGAAAAAGAAAAAAACCGATCTTCATGGATCTAATACCATGTGGTTAGTAAGCATTTCGTTCTAAACTAGATGAACAGGGATTATATAGAAACGTGAAAGAAAAGAACCATTTTCGGCCTACAGAGAATCGAGAAAACTAAAGCTATATATAATATACATATATTATCTTAGTCAACAATACAAACTGTAAATTTCAAGAAATATACAGAATATCCTGGCATCAAAAAGATGAATGATAATTTCAGGAAGTTTCTACATGAATTGTGCCATATTGGCTGCCATGTCTATTACATCCTGTTTTCGGTTTCTTACTTTCTGTAATTTAATATATCTCATATTGAATCTCATTTACCTTATCCGTAAAATGTTGAATCTCATTTCATTATGAATTAGGCATGAACTGACATCGTTTTCTTACTTGAATTGGATCAGATATGGTGAAATAAGAGAAGTTTGGTTGGATGGTGCTAAAGGTAAGGAAGAGAAGGATATGGAATATTTTTTTGATGATTGGTTTAGTCTCATTCATCAGCTTCAGCCTGGGGCAGTCATTTTTTCTGATGATGGTCCAGACACAAGGTGGGTTGGAGATGAATCTGGTGTTGCTGGGACCACATGCTGGTCTCTTTTCAATCGAAGTGCTATTAAGATTGGGGATACTAATCCTAAGTGAGTCATCTTCTGTTACTCTATTTCAGTGCTATCTTTTACTTGCATTATTGTGAGAAATATTCCCCCTTCAAAATTTTTGGATTCATGCATGTCAAGAAGATCATATACACTAATTTTGAGTCTTGAATCTGGTTCCCTGTAGATTACTACTCAAATCCCATCTTCATGCTAAAACTCCAATCTTATAGCAGCATTTGCAGAAGTAGAAAATGACCAAATGGATCATCGGAAGTGAATTCTCTTGTATCCTTGTAGCCCTTTGGAAAAATCAAACTCATTTCCAATTTCTTCTATAAGATTGTGCAAGGGAAGCCAACTTTTATGCGTGGACGGTGCCTTAGTTGGAGACCAATAACATGTTTACGGATAGTAGATGGTCGGTCTTCACCAAGCTCAATTAATCACCTTCCAGCCTTGGCCATTCTATCTAACTGGGTTTAAGACATAGCTTATGAAATCAGAATAAAAGATAAGGCACACATTGTGAGCCCATAACGCATAATTTAGTGTATGAAAGGGTCTAGATTATGTCTTATTTTCAAGAAGTTCTAAAGCTTTTAAGTCAATTTATATAACTTTCCTAAGAGTTGAGTCATAAATTTTGTTCTATTGTATAATTTCTTATTGCAAATTGTAGAATGGGTTTCTCTATTATTTATTTTGCTACTCCTACTTAACTTTGATTTAGAATATGTGAATATGGTTAATGTATCGCTGTGCTGCTCAATGTCAAGAAAAAGGTTGAGTTTTTACTTTATGTTGGCATATTTGGAGCACTAAACATCAATCAACTTCAATCATACTACTTGGAGTAGGAGACAGCCAAAAATCCAAATATTTTCGTAATAATGATAAAACATCTTCAGTTTGCCAATATATTCCATTGCTAGTGTAGACTTGCATAGTCACGCTTAATTGTTTTCAATATATACATGTGACAGATACTCTGGAGAAGGAGATCCTCTTGGCCACGATTGGGTACCTGCAGAGTGTGATGTCTCCATCCGACCTGGATGGTTTTGGCATGCGTCGCAAGTACCAAAATCTGCAATTACTTTGCTTGATCTGTACTACAAGTCAGTTGGAAGAAACTGTCTTTTGTTGTTAAATGTGCCTCCAAATTCTTCAGGTCTTATATCACAAGAAGACATACGAGTCCTTGAGGAATTTTCAGAGATTCGGAAATCCATATTTTCCTACAATCTAGCGAAAGGTGCTCTTATTTCTGCAAGCAGTGTAAGGGACGGTCCAAGTGATTCCCGTTATGGTCCTCACAATGTTCTTGAGGAAGGTATCTATTCATACTGGGCTCCTGGTAAGGCACAATCGCACTGGGTGTTAAATTTAGACTTTGAAGAGGTTGTGAGTTTTAATGTATTGCTAGTGCAAGAGCCAATCCATATGGGTCAGCGGATTATAGAATTCCATGTCGACTTCTTGAACAAAGAAGGTGAATGGGAAGAGGTCGTACATGGTACCACAGTGGGATATAAAAGGCTGTTAAGATTTTGGAAAGTTGAATCCAGTAAGTTAAGGGTTGTTATTGACAAGTCTCGGGCAGATCCTCTTATTTCTTATTTGGGAATATACAAGGATCCATTTGCTATATTGGGACGTGTCTCTAACTTTAGCTCTACATCTATCTCCAAGGATGGCAAACCTCGTCAGCAAAATATGTACCATAATTCCCCCCGTGTTTCCTCTTTCTAATCCTGTTGACCAAATTGTACCGTGTATCAAAATAGTTTCTCTTTTCATTGAGACAATGTCTCTCTTGAGATTTCAATGGTTTTCGCTTAGCGTTCCCTCACAATTGTCTGATGAGAAGACACACGTGATAGCGAGTTTAATAAGGATCTTTCGAATGACTCATCGTGATAAATCAGTTTGTACAATACTAATCAGAACACAGTGGGCGAGACACTTTTAAAGTACTGAATATTCTGTGTGGTATAAATAGTTCATGTGCTGAACTTACTCGTTCCAATTTCAGGGGCATTGGAGCTATAACACCATAGTTTAGAATGTGTCCAAATTCTACATTAAGCATAACACAAGCATTTCTTCCATGTTGAGAGCGCGTAGTTGCCTTAATTGCTAGTACGTGCAGAGCAAGATATAGTCTTAGTATGTCCATAAGCAAATGTTAACCCTACTAGCATACTTTTAAACAGTATAAAAACTTAGTATATCTAGGTTATCTTCACATCGCGAAGAAGGCGAGCAGCCATAGCCCCATATCTTCTTGCCTCCCACACGCTAAGCTTTTCACTCTGGGGATTTGCAGCTAACTTGCTTCCTTCCTCAACAAGATCATCTTGACTATCCTCAACTGCATTAACAGAACAACTATCATCATCATCTTCCTCCGATCTGCATTTGGTTTCTTTAACTTCAACCCCTTCAATATGGCAATCAAGCCCTTTGCCAATGTTATCTGAAGATTTATGGCTCATTATGTACAATTGTATACTTGGATGTTGGTACTCATTGTGCATCTACAAGGATAACAAAAATCATTTTCAAAATCAGAAAGACCGCCTTCCCCTGCAACTAACAAGTGCCTACTTCAATTGTTGTATAAATTAGTTCATAAAGACATTTCAAATGATTTAGGACCGAACAGCAGGTGAGGTTCAAATAGAGAATCCAAGACGAAAAAGAAAAACAGAATTAGTGACCGGCAAGAACAATGTAATTACAAAAACTACTTAATCGTACTATCTTCTCAAGTGACCATACTGCCGAACTGGTTTGTATGTTTATTGGTGGCAAACCACAAGAAATGCATAAAGTTTCAAGTAAACTTTGCAAACAGATGAATCTAAAAGACAGGTACCTTTGCCCTTGGAACAATTTTAACCTCAAAATATCTTTTCCATAATTCTAGCATTTGTTCGTGGACATTTGTGGAACGAATTTCGTAACCCAACTGCAAAATAAAGTTCAGCAACAAGGACCAAACTAGAGAATCAATTTCAGTTCAAATTTAAAAAATATACAATTTTAAAAAGTTTCTGAAGTACTGTACCAAGATTGTGGTTTTCGGTCCAGATAATGAAAGTATTGTCTGCAACAATGGTTCCAAGAGATGCTCTGAGTAAACCTAGTCACACAAAAAGCAGAAAAATTATGAAACCTTGTAAAATTATTCGGTGTTTCACTGAGGAAAAACTGTCTAAACGAGTAAACTTATGCTGGTGCTTTATGTCCACAGGATAAATTCCAAACTTGGTGAAATTTGAATATTTAGGCAGGGTTCATTAGCATGAAGCACTATTCCTGTGCATCTTTCTCATTCCCACATATCCCACAGGACCCGCTCACAGTAGAGTTCAAAACAAAAGGGAAACAGTGAACATAATACTACAAAACACTATTGAATATAACTCACAACATCGGTGCCAATAATGTAGTCAAACGGAGGAACAACAGCCCTAATATGATCTGCATTACCCCAGTTCAGCTCTGCCACCTCGATGGAGCCAAAAGAGTCTACAAGGGACAAAATTTTCATATGAGGACCCAGTAATGTCAATCAACAATTTTTATCTTTAACTTCGATAAAAAAAGGTTCTGGTGGACAGAGCCATTACAATTATCTCACACTACAAATTAGATGTCACATCATTGTTAGAATCAAAGAGTAAGAATCCTTCATGTGTGGAAAGTTTACAGAAGAAAACGGAAAGACAATCAAATAGGCAAAAAAGAAATTCAAAGATAGATTGAAAAGCACACCTGAACCAGTATACATTTGCAATATCCTTGAAGTATTGCGTTCAACATTTCTCATCAACAAAGGCAAAACCTCAGTTTGGTCTGTTGAAATTACATCACATCCAAGAAATGCCATGCCTGAAGAATGCAGTCTGTCAGATTAGCCCACATTTGGCTACTATTTATTAACTGTTCATAATCGGTCAAATCACTTTTTATTCACATATTTTGTGAGATTTATAAGTACTACCCACTTATTGACCACTCATTTCTATCTATTTATAATATAACCATTTATAAACTACTCCCAAAAAATAACCCTTGTTTGGCTACCATTTATAGATGCCTCCAATCGGAATGCTCGCTTTTCCATAATGATTGCGAACCAATTTTAGGGATTAATCACTTCAAGGGAGAGAAAACTTAGGGATGGGTGATGATCGACCTACCTATGTTTGTACTGGTCATCATCGGGGAAGTTTTTAACCAGTTTCATGTCATGATTTTGGCTAGTTAAATTCATTAGGATTAGGTATACCAAACAAAAGGAGTATCACTGACTTAACCCCTTGATCATGGACAATGTTTATAATCGGGCAAACCACTTTTGATTTACATACTTCATGGGACCCACAAGTACTACACACTTATTCACCGCTAATTTCTATCAATTTATAATTTAAACCGTTAATAAACAACTCCCAAACATGCATAGAAGACCTGTAACAAGTGTTCATACTGAAGTTCGGCAGTAAAAGAAACTCACCAAATCCAGCTACACCACAGCCTGCTCCAAGTTCAATCACACGTTTTCCTTTCAGTTTAGATGGAGAAAACTTTCCCTTTCTACAATTTCTCTCCTACACCAATTAACGTGCAAGAGTTCTTAGTCGCTGTTTAAATTCAGGTATTGACAAATAGACCACAAGCCAAAAGCTGAAGTGGTGATAAGTGTAACAGTTTCATATAAAGAAAGATAATACTAAGATATACTAAAGGGCGTACAACTAGAACATGACAATCATATAGCAGATTGATATCAGTGTATTAGAGAGAAAATTCACTAGATTGGGGACTATCAAATCTACAAGTTAGGGGAGTACATCGGAATTACTCCAGGGAAAGAAATTCATCAATATATTTCATCAGACATCAGCCTTATGATGAGAACGATTTAATAAATGAATATAATGTTCTTTTTCTTACTGTGGTGCAATATTTGTTACCAGAAATTTGACGAACACCATTGATGCATCCCAAACAGTAGTCCCTAAATGCTTAGAATTGGGATCCTGTCACAATTAAAGCAGACACGTCGCTGTGAATGAAGGTAACAAGAAACAGGGCCAAAAAAATTTAAAAAATGAAAGCACAGTAGAGTATTTTCATATCAAATGATTTTTTAACACCGACATTAAGAAAGCAGAAAAGCATTCACATAAAGATGTTTCAATATTTTAAAATATCATAAAATGATTAAGGAGATACTAAATAGAGGCAAATTTATATGCAGGAAGCACGTATCTTAGTCATTCTAATGGCTCAAGGATTAAAGAACTTCTCTAGGTTCTAATATTATGATTGCAGAACAATCGTTGTTAATCTTTTGGAAAGGAAAATTTAAGAAATAAGACAGTGATTGTCGATTTGCGATGCCTATCTTTATTAGCAAATGAAATCCCCTGAACCAGAATATTCAGAAATACCTTCTCAAGAACCCATAATAGAAAATAAATTTAAGAAAAATAACTAAAAGAGTAATGCCTTTTCCAAGAGATTATAAGCATCAGAAATTTCATTGTGTGTTAACAGCTGGAATTCTTTGTAAAAAGGAATCGTATGACACTGAATGACATAAACTGCAATAAGCTTTGCCATTACTGTAGTTTATTGAAAGAAATAGAGATATGCACAAACTCATTGAAAGACCTAATACCTGTGAAAACTGAAGCTGGTGACCAAAAACTTCAAATAGAACTGCTGACGTATTGGGGGAATTTAGTCTGCAATAAAAATTAAAAATGTATAAACGAGATAATATGATTGAAACGCACAAGTAGAAAACCAATATAATTTTAATTTGAAAGTTACACATATAATGAGGAAAGGCGATACAAAAGAGAATATTTGCAAATATTATATCATTTGCCTTAAGAAATAACAACAGTCAAGGATGTAAAAATGCCAATTCACTTTTACCAAATAAAAATAGATAAAGATACCAGTCAAAGCATCCAATGAACAAAAACTTTAAATACTCTTATCAATAAAGTTATCAGGAAGCCATTGTAGCGATCTCAACAAACTAGATTAGATGTCTTCTAGCATGACCTCAGCAGTGCCATCCCCATGTTTCCAGGATGTATTGACAACAGATAATAAACACAAAAATGGCATCAAATAAAAATTTCAGTCATCATTATCAAAACTAAGTCAAAAATCCTTGTGTAAAACTGAAAAGGAAAACATAGAGAGGTGATTCTCCAGGCCCAGCTCAGATTTTTGCAACAAAATGCATGCCCCTATGGTTTTTCCCATGAACAAGGAAAAGATAATGAATAGAAATGAAGACAATAAAATACAAATAAAACTGCATTGATTCTGAGGGAAATTATCAGCATAATGCTTCTACATGAAAGGATTAGGTATCATTCACATCTACTATTATGGATAGCCTTAACTGAGGAATACTAGGATAAGCTGTTCTACTCCCACTCTAAACCTCTTGGCTCAACTGGGATACATCCACCCTTGCCTTCGAAAGCCAAGCCAACTCAAGAGCTCCTGCTCGCTCCGTGCCATAACACTGGCATATTCCACAAGAATATGCCAAGTGAAATTAGTAACTCCTAGTTTGACACTTCTATTTGAACAGAAAAACCACCACATTCTCTCTAAGCCAGTACAGGCAAAAAGTGGACTACCAAACAATTGCAAACTAAGCATTATAGTCAACAAGTTTAAGGTAGGCATAATTCATACTTTTTCATCATTCCATTCGTGTTTGATCAAATCCTTGGCAATCTCATTAGACCATGTTAATCTTGTTCTATCTTCCCTCTTCAATCATGTTCTACTAAAATTATGCAAGACATGCTCAACCACCTAAGTTGTTATTTCGTAATTTTTCAACTGGTACTACCTCCACTCGTTGGCAATGGCGTATTCCAGTTTTTATCATTGTCCATTTTAGTATGGTCAAATATTCATCTTGGACTCTTCATTTCTGTTGCTTTCTTCTTATAGTATTTTGACCTTTAAAGGCCAAAAAATTCAACATTTCCCTTCTGTTCTTTGGCATCCTATAGCACAAGCTACTGAGATCATTGTAACAGTATTAAAAAAGAAACCACTTATCTATAGCAGTATACAAAGAAAAACAACTTCCCATCATTACACACCTCAAAAGCTAAAACTTTTCTTCTCTTCCATTGCAATATTATTTATCAGATAAAGTCATTAACATTGTTAAGTTGTGGAGCCTAATTATTGCCGCTTAGCGGGGCCGGTAAGCAAATCGACCTCTGTGGTGAGATCGTCGTGAGGGTTAGAAGGGAGAAGGAAGCCCCCATCCTAGGGGGCAGGGGCGGAGCCCTCATACCAAAATTTCATTAAGAGCAGTTTAAGAATTTGAGTCTTTGTAAAATTCAATTTTTTCCTAATTGTCTTATAAATAGGAGTTGTCTTTAAGGTTTTAAATTACCATCATAAAAGAGAGAAAAATATGTTAGAGAAAACACAAGTAAGATTTTCTCTTATAAACTTCTTTTCATCGTATTGAATTACCACAACGGCGGAAGACGGTGTAGTCTCGTATTGAGGCGAACCTCTTTATTCTTTCTACTAATTGATTCCTCTTGGTGGAATAGAATTAGAGTTTTTAATTCTCAACGAACATTACATAATACTGGGGAATTTTTGCTTGAACTAAAAAAATTAATGCAATGCTAGAGAAAAAAAGTTAACTGTAAAGTTGAACTACAGGGATATAAGAAAAACTAACAAAATGTAAACTTTGGGCATGAATAATTTTTTTCAAGAACCAAGAACACTATTAGTAAATGAAACACCATAAGCTGTCCCAAAAAATGCAATAAGGATATACCTGTCTGCCTCCATTTCAACTTTCAACAGCTGTATACTGAGTGAAATCAACACCCTTTAGAAATCTTTGGCTGCCATGATAGGGACAAAAAGAAGCAAATTAATGATACAGCATACATCATCTTAAACAATAACAAACGACTGTTAGCATATCAAACACACAGAAATAACTGACGAATTTTCGTAACTTAAAACCTTTTATATTTGTTTACAAATAATAAAACGATTTATGTTTATACTAAATGTAGACCATCATCGTAACATCCAATGAACCAAAAAATAGAAGAAAACCCAGAAAGATTTAATTTTTTTGGGTTTTGGTGAAGAACTCAAACTGAGCACAAAATCTAAAACAGATGTATGCATAACAGGTTGTTACAATTGAGAAGGGTTTTTGTTGTTCCAAAAAAATTAACAAAAACAAAAAGATTTTACAACACTATTTTCTTCGAACTTCGATAAATATACCTACCAAATTTAACAAGGCAATCTCGATCAAAATCTACCTTTACAATACTTGGCAATGCCTGCGGACTATCTGACGTTTGTTCGAGTAACGACTGGGCGATTCAGCGAGGAATTTGAAAAATATGTCTATTTCTGTTTTCTTTTGAATGGGAACGTTTCTAAATGGCCTGGTCTATAATAACCCCCAAAAGTAGGAAACTTTATTAAAATTAATTTTTTTTTTCCGAAAATTTTAACTTGCAAAATTATTTTATCCAAAAAAATAAAAACACTGTTATGTACAAAAATTATATATACCAAGTAAGGTCCGGGTTATATATAGGTGCCGAGGATGATTTTGATGGTCAATTTGCTACACAATGCACAATGCATAAAATAATAAAGAAATTGAACATTTATAAAATTTATCGTCCTACTGATAAGTTGGTATTCATTCTCTAAAACAAAACAATTTTTGTTCTCGGCCTTTCACTTTTATTTTAATGATAGTCCTAGACAAATTTTAATGAAAAAAAGCAAGAAAAACCTGCATCTAGGTTCGATGTTTTAAGTCTAAAATACGTGTGTTATTAAGGTAACATGTCATTAATTCTATCAATTATTAGGAATGAATCAAATTTAGGAGATGAGAGTGTGATATTGTTGAATGGTAGAAGATAGCAAGTAGTTTGGTTTCAAATATTTTTTTCCCAGATTTTCCAACATTACTTGTTACTTTTGTGGCAATGATCGCTCACAAGAATTCCATTATTCGTCCCTCAGCTATCAAATTTTCCAAAATTCTTCTACCTATAATGCTTTATTGATGAAGCATTAGTCATTTATAACAAATATTTCCCGTAGATACTGCAATAATTAACATTTACACATATAATCCAATTAATCTGAGTTTAAATCACTGTGAACATCAGAATAAGTGTAATATGCTTGACGCAAAACCACTTAATAGTGTAATTTACATGAAAACCAAAAGCATTGAAACGAAACTTTGGAGGAAAAAAGGCCTTTAATTGTGTTTTTTTTTTTGGCCAAATTTATGGAAGAAATCACATAGGAGCAAGGTGACCATCAGCCCGTGTCAATGGAAGTTTTCCTTGCATCCATCTCTTTAACATTTCTAGTGATGCTTTTGGCTGATCCATCGGAACCATATGGCCGGCATTATGAACCTTGAGGAAGGTCAGAGTTCCATGGCCTTTCTGCAATCCAGCCTCTACGCCATCGACTGAAAATGGAGTAGTGGGAGCTGCTACAAATTCTCTCTGTCCTGACCATTCCATATCATGAACCCATCTCGAATTCCCTATCCATAACATAAAAATACCATCAAATTTACTTGCCTTCTAATGGAAATACCATCTTTTGAGGAGGATTTAAAAATCTTACCTAGCCAGTTGCATATCAGATCATACTCTCCGGCATATACAAGTAATTTGATTCCATCCTCCAAAAGTGTAGGAATGCCGACTTCAAGATTTCTCATCCAGTCTGTCACCATTGCATCATACACTGCAGAACTACATGAAACGAAATCTATGTCCCCGACACCAAGAGCATCTCTGACGGATTTCTTGTTCAGAAAAGTATCCATGCTGGAGAAGTCATAGCACAAGTCACCTTCACACTTTTTTCGGATGTCATAGTACTGCAAGTGAAAGTTAAGGTTGAACAACGTTTTTTATATTGTCTTAGTATTTCTTAACCATTGTTCCCAGATAAGACTTAAAAAGAATTTCTCTTACATTTACACCACCAGCAATTCCCACTATCCTGTTGAATATGGCGTTACAAATCATGTATGCAGCCACACAAGAATTTCCCCCATCAACTCCTGGAAAAAAAATTCTACTTCAAGTTAAGCAGTAACATTAATCAACTCAATATTATTCCAGTAGGTATCATATTCTGAACTACTAAAAAGAAGCCGTTTTTGGGCGTGTTATGGATTTGGAATAAGAAATCACCGCAAATCTTGATTGCCTGTTGACATTGTGAAACTGACTTGCTCATGCTGTTGTAATCAGATTGTTTAATCAATTTCATGTCCAAAGCATAATCGGTGTATGCTTTATACTGAATTTCCGGATTAGTAAGCCCATTTCCGATAGCAAATCCCTGATTAGGAACATGTACATTATTAATATGTATCAGGGTGAAAACAATTGGAAGCTGTCGGTGATAAAAGAATATGAATTCAAGAACATACTTTTAGGTTGATATGAATTCCTTCTTTGTTCTTGTTTCCTAGATGAACTCGAGCAGCAAAAGCAGGAATGTAGTGCCCAGCATATGATTCTCCAGTTATGTAAAAATCATTATTTGCATACCGTGGATGCTCCTTGAAAAAGGCCTAACAGCACAGACTAGAAAAGCTCAGTATATAAGATTGAGACTTTGTAGTATCGGCAAAATAAAAGGAGAAACAGACCTGCAAGAAGTCATAAAGATCATTGCTAACACCATCCTCACCATGGCGTATATCATCATCATCAGAACTGTAGCTAAAACCTGTTCCTGTTGGCTGATCGACATATATAAGATTTGATACCTGCATTTTGAGATCTTTGGTAAATATATGTTGATTATTGACTAAAAAAATAGCTCTGTTTGATATGCTAATTGATCATCTTGTATCACTTTCTAAAGTTAATATGTGAAACACGGTATATATTAAGGTACAGTTCCATAGAAAGATGTCTAAAGGAAAAGGTTAGAGAAGTTCTGTTTGATTCAAATAAAAATCGTTGAACAAAAAAGAAGGCTCTTCAAGTACCTTATCCCATCCAAAATCATTCCATTGAAGAGATAGGTTGCTTGTTATATGGAAGGGGCCATTTTCATAAAACAAGGCCAATTCACTGCTGCACCCCGGTCCTCCAGTTAGCCATATAACAACAGGATCACTCTTAGCATTCCTTGATTCAAAGAAGAAGTAGAACATCCTGCAAACATTATTACGACCATTTAAACCGAAGCCTTCTTTTCATAGGACATTAGTCTCGATATAACCGACCAGTCCTTCCGGCAAAATTGAAGAACATAAGAGCATAATACAGTAAATTGAATATCTTAGACGATAGACTGGTCGAAGTTATTAAATTCTTCCCTGACACGTGCACAAATCAAATCTCCTTCACCTTTCAAAGCTTCATTTGCAAGTAATATCACAAGTCATGTCATAAGTTCCTCACAAGTTACAAGCACGGAATATTCTCCATTGACAATAAATCAAATGCTATTTAGTCAGCAAATTATCCCACATTGAACAATTAATTCAAAGGTCATCCATATACTTTCATATTTAATGTTCAAACTCGAACTAAATAATAAATTCATATGGAATTTGACTAATTAATCACAAGGTGATGAAACTATCTATTTTCTTTATTTTAGGAGCCCAAGAAATTTAAAATTTATACCTGGCATCTTTAGTGTGAGGAAGCCGATAATATCCAGCATGGTGACCCAAGTCTTGAACAGAAGCCCCAGAATCTCCAAGATAAGGGAATTCAAATCGCTTTTCGACAATTCTTGATCCACCAAATTTATAGTCTTCCCCACGATGATGATTTATATCGTGCTTTGGAAATAAGTTGAGCCCTTTAATCAGTTTCTCAGCCTGTTGTTTTGGGAATTTCAGATTGGAAGAAAGGAAAAGAGCGTCATCACTAGTTTCAGATGCAAATGAAGCAACAAGAAAAAGAGAAAGAAGAGAAAGTAAGCATTGAGAAAAAGAAGGGGTAAGTTTCATTGTTGTGAGTAGTTTCTTCTCAAGGAGATGGAATACAAAGACTTTTTCTCCATGGATTATATATAGGCGTTGTCGAGGTTTCCTCTTCCCCCTCTCTCTTTGAGTGCGCGTGTGAGAGAGAGACAAAGTGGGGGGAACTGGATTTTAACGGTTTGCTATTTTTTTTTCCTTTGCCTTTTGCTTTTTCACTTTCAAACTGGAAACCATGGCTCCAAGGGAAAAGATAAGAAGGTAAGAAAACGTTAAAATAAATAAAATTTATTTTCCTAATGACAAGTTGGTAGCCGTTCTTTAAAACAGATCATTTTGGGTCTCAACCCTTTGCTTTTATGGTAATGGTAGGCTTATTACTTATTAGTAGAGAGAAACCATCCATTTAATTGTTAAAAACTCGAAATTTTGTGCACATTGGCTGTTTAGTCCCCCGTAATTAAGTGTATTGATTATTGGGAACCAAACAAATTTAGGCCCTATTTGGTTTGGTGAAAATTAAGTGGGTGTTTGGTGAGGACTTAAATTATATTTTTAGTAAATGGTGATAGAAATTTTTGAAATGTGTGGTTGAAAAGCTATGGGACCCATAAAAGATATTGTTCGTATTGATTATTTGACTTTGATTTAGATTAAAATCTGATTTTAATCCGAAACAAATAGGGCCTAAATTTTTAGTAGATGTTAATAAAATTTAGTGAAGTATGCAGTTGAAAGGTTGATAAAAGTTATTGGTCCATAAAATTTGTGCTTAAAATGAGTTTGAAAAAAAAAATACGTTTTAAGAGATGGAGGCCAAACAAGGGCATAGTAAATGAGTGAAACGATATTATTGAACGACGGAATATCACGTGTAGTTTTGCTTTTCAATTTTCTTTTGCAGATTTTCCATCATTATTTGTTTACTTTATGGCAATGATGCCACAAGAATTCCATTATTCAATCCTAAGTTATCCAATTTTGAGCTTAAATTCAGGACCTAATTCCAAAACTCTCCTACCTATAATGCTTTATTGATCACATTATTTTACAAAGTTTGGTGAGAGATGACATGATCAGTTGCACGCAATGGAAGCTTCATTCTCTCTGAGTGTTGGTTTCTTTACTTTAAAGTGTAAGTCACTTTTTCTTATAAAAGAAAATTCAGTTTCACAGATATCGTCAAGGGTTGATCCAACTCATGCATGACATTCCGATTTAAAATCAAGTCGATATAAATTGAACTTGGTTAGACGTGTAGACTTTTTGAATACACTCATGTCCAGTATTAGGCTTGAGGTCTCGAACTTGTGTGTACTTCAAGTAAGGCTCCACTACGTTATTGACTAGAATCGAAACACATGAGAATGTGAATCTTTATTTAAGGTGCTAAGTGAGACGGTAAGTGCTAGCTATATATAGTCATAGTCGAAGCCACCTTTTGAACCTGTAATTGAATTAATATGCACAAATTTGATGCGATGGTGGATGATTCACATGTTGAAGCCTTACGTCGTGTTGATATACGATTGTAATCCTCATTTCAGATATCGTTCTTCGATCCAAGTATTGTGGGGTGGTATTTGATTGGTTGTTGCTCATAATCCAATACGTTGGATCCTTCAAACTAGTTTAAGAATCCACACAAAGCATGTGAACTTGGTTGCTTGTAAGGAACTATTGGTCTTCACACTAATGATGGGTAACCTTAATAAAGACGTAAAAGATGGGTAACCGTATCAAATTTTTGGGGCGGGCTTCACACAGTTGGACCGACGTAGGGTTTTCTTAAGCGTGTTGACGTAACTATTGAGTAACTATTAATAGAAATTGGTTATTTCAAAAGACTTTAAATTATTAAATTAATTAATAATGTAGAAAAAATTTAATGAAGAGATTGTCTACATTCTGCAAAAGAACAAGAAATCAATAAATTAAAATTAAGAAGAAAAATTCCTATCGTGCATGATAATGTTATTGTCAAAGAAATATGTTTCTTTGAGAATATTTTTTCTTATTATATGTTAGGGACTGTTTGATAGGCCATTATTTTTCATGGAAAATGGAAAACAAATTTCAACTTCCACTTTTACCTTATTTGATACATTTTTTTTTTCTATGGAAAATTTTTTCTTGATTTGGCTCACGTGCTCACATTTTCCTTAGTTTTGTGAAAAATCAATTTTCACTTCCAACTTTTTTTTTTTTTTGGCAATGGAAAAAAATTTTACACACAATGGTAAAAAAATTTATCACTTTTATTTACAATTTCCATGCAAAATAAAGCCAAACGAATAGTATTCGGTATGGTAATTTTTAAAATTTTTTTTTGACAATTGGAACAAATTTTATACTAAATGGTAGAAAAAATTATTACTTTAATGGACAATTTTCATAAAAAAATGAAGTCAAACGGATACCAAACTTTCAACATTTTCCAGGTGGAAAATTATATCAATCAAACACAATTAATTATAATTCCCAATAAAACATTTTTTAGGCAATTCAATTCCATGTAAAACATTTTCTNCGGATGCCAAACTTTCAACATTTTTCAGGTGGAAAATTATATCAATCAAACACAATTAATTATAATTCCCAATAAAACATTTTTTAGGCTATTCAATTCCATGTAAAACATTTTCTTTTCACCAATTTTCCACTTTTGCAATCAAACGGACCCTTAGTGTTAGGAACGGTTTCTTGGAAAGTAAATATTTTGCATTCAGAAATTTAGTATTTTTAAACTTGAATAAAAGTTAACTTCGATTCTTGCACAGAACTTTCGTTGATCATATCATCTTTTCACAAATTTAAATTTCACCTTTTTGTATATCCTTTTACTTTTAGTTTCTTCTTCTTTCTTATTTATTGGAAAACGAGAAAACCTAAATATAACAATAGTGCCTAAAAATACTCCAACATAAAATGGGTTGAATCGAGCCGACTCGACCCTTGAACATTTGAGCTCCGCTCAACCCTAGGGACGAGCCGAGGTTGGCCCGTATTCAAATTCTAGGCTTGGCTCGTTTAGAACTCTTTGGTTTGTAGGTCTCAATGCTGAGTCGAGTCAGCTCGTTTTCTAAAATTAATAAAGTAAATCCAAAAACAAGTAATTTTTTAATGAAATTAATAAAGTTGGTCAAATAAATAAAAAAATGAGTTGACTCGCAAAATTAGGAAAAAAAAAAAAAAAGTGAGCTCAAAACTAGACAGACAGCCTAGCTGCCCATGTATTGAGTTGAAACGAATCGAGCCCACGAACGACTTGTCACTTCTACGTATAACAACTGTTTCTTTTAAGTACAAAAAGATGGGAAGCTCAAAGAATTAGGCAAATTTTCTAATTTTGATTAATAAAAGAATTATTTATGAATATATTAATGAGATCAACTCCGGGAAGTTATAAAATGTTAAACCATTTTATATAATATGTGTGAATTGGGTTCTTGGGTTATTAATACGTGTGAATTGGAATAAGTCTTCAATATATATGATGGTTGAATGCGACTCTTAACTACAATGTGTGCCTAATAAAGAGTCATGACTTTTGGATATGGTATGATATGGACCATTAAGATCACGTCTCCATTTAAAATGGAGCGATTTAATCGTCAATTTAAATATGCGCCGAAAGATGCAACGGTTTAGAATAAACAAAAATATATACATAGGATCCTTTTAATTCCTTTTTTTTATACTCCAAATCAATTCCAAAATAATTGATTTCTAAATTTATTCCCTCTCCAAATTCTATCAAAATTGTTTTGAAATTATTTTCGAGTTTTAGTGTTTGATATCATCCAATTATATGGTCAAACTTTGGTTCGTCGAACAAAATTAATATTGTTTTGCATTAATTTTGGAAGAAGCATTTTATATTGAAATACAAATGTTCATTTGATTTTGTTAGCACCAGTGCACGATGCGAAATCTGTATTAGAGAGATTTGCAATAACATACCTCGCTTGATTTTATTTCCTTATAATTTTTACGTTTTCTACATTTCAGTAAGTTGCTATAATTTGTTCATTTTTCACGCTCGTGTTGAGGTGTGAGAATAGAATTTATGCATCAAATTTTACCAACATCTACAACTAAAATAGGTTTCATTGTCTAAAAAAGAGCTAGACAATATAATCTAATGGGCCATCTTCTTGTTTGTTTCATAATTAGGTGAATGGCTCATCTTGATCATAAATGATGATAACATGTCAGTAGTGAATTTCAAATGTTTTGGTAGGACTGTTTGTTCCATTCATTAGAATTTAGTAGATTGATTGAGATAGCTAATTGGACATAGGTTCATTTGATTGATTTATTTGTAAACATTTCCCATTCATTCCATTCAGCCTTACACGAGTTCTCTTAGCAAGAGCGATGCTATCATGCGATCGATAACTTATTTCTCTCGGAGCTCGATTATTGAATACTAGAAATATATTACTTTAATCATTTATTTTAGTACTATTTGAGAGTGAAAATTTGATTCATCAATTCAAATAGACTTTTTGTCTCTTGATTATTCATACAAAAGAATCTTCTTGACTTCTTGTCTAGCTTCTAAAATACAAAAGGTCACAACTTCTTTAGTCATCTTATAGAGAATATCTAGGACACTGTGGTGTGTGAACCACATGTTTTTTGCATTTTCTCACGCTACAAGAGGTAAAGCATCGTTTTATTTTTCATTTTTCAATTGGTACTACTCGTTCCTGCAGATTTGATTGTGCGTTGTTAAATTTTTTTTTAATTCGATCCTAAATCCACCACCATTGTTAGTGCTGCACTTAAGTCACGGATACCCTTCATGCAGAAAGATTATATATATATATATAAAGAAAAAAGTTCGCACATTAAAAAAAAAGTTACTAATAATTTTTTTTTCTACCCACTAAAAATGGAAATGGGCTGAGAGGGGACTGGGCTAAAGCCCAGCCCACTCCCTCCTAAATCCGCCATTGACTAATTGGTATATGAATAGATCTTGTGCATCTTAACTATAGCTTTGGAGTTAAAATCTTGAAGGAATATGTAGACAATCATGCTACATTGTCAAAAAAAATAAAAATAAAAATTACCATATTTCTTCTATCATTAGATCGTTTAAAAAACAGTCAACTTTTACATCCAATCATCTGTTGTCACCACTGCATCTGTCAAATAAGTGGGCAATAATTTCTGACAAAGTGGCTTAACTCATGTAGGATGCGTGGTGGGTGGTGACACACAAAGACCAACCCTTTAAAATCATTCTTTCGTACAAGGATAGTATTTAATGCAGTCAATAGCTCAATCAAGTGCATCACGTGAGATCACTCCTAGAAATTATTTGATCTTTCAATGTGTAATGGAATACTGAAAAAGAAATTGCAAGCAGATGAAATGATTGACAGATATAATGTAAGATTGATTGCTTGAAGCTACATACAAGAATTGTTAATTTATTTTCTAGGTATGACAGTTACATCTATTTGTTTGCAAGAAGTTAAGAGTAGAATTAAAAAAATAAAATAAAATAAATAAAAATTCATAGATACAAATAATGGATATCAAGACAACCTTTTTTGCTATAACTTCAAAATATAAAATAGGCAGGTCTACATAATTAAACAATGGCATCCTATGATAATGTGGAGGAATCTACAAGCTATAAAGTGACATCAGAAATGCTCTCCCACCACCAACAACAGCCTTCAAATAATTACTCATTGTCCGACACAATGTTAATCATTAAATCATGTTAGATTATAAGAGTATGAACAAATGATGCATTATTGTTGTCATCAACCCCGATTGTTTGTTTCCAACAGCAAGAGAATCTGAGTATTTGAGATGATGAACATGAAAATAGTATACTAACAAGAAAGGCCTTTCTGCGTCTAGGGTTAGGGATTAGTCCTAATTCAAAGGTACTGTTTAATTGTCGGTAGGGCATCCTGCAATCATAATTAGCCCACGTTTGGTTTTGATAAAAATCTTATTTTTAGTAAATTTTGATAAAAATAGACGAAATATGTGATTGAAATATTAATAAAAATTGTGAATGCTGAAATGAGTTGAAAGAAAATAAACTTCAAGAAATGGGACCAAAATTGGGACTTCTAGAGATAAACCTAGAACTCGTCACACACACAATACACATTGAGTAATGCTACATGAACATGGTCGTTGACCGATTTTATTTTCAGGGAACAAGTGTCAAATTTTGATTGGACTTTCTTTTTTTTTTTAAAAGAGCCACAGTTGTCAGCAATTGTCAACTTCCATGTCTTCTAACTCTGTCCAAGCAGCATTACATATTCTCACTTGTGCAGTCAAAGTGTAAAGAGAGCTGTTACATGTACAGGGGGATTTTGCCAGAGTTTATACAAGAGACATTTGTCAATTGAGTTATGCTACTTGGCCAGGGATTAAATCCCAAGTGGCACCCCTGGTTTGACCCGGGATTTAATCCCGGGCCAAGCAACTTTATTGTCACTCAATTAACCCATTCTTCTGTCAAAAGAGTTACCTGCAATAGTTAAGGGTAAACTGGAAACCTCATTACTCAAGTTTTTATACTTTCCTGCAATGCCGTAATCAGAAAATTTCTTGCAGTTGAATCATCCCAATTCCACCGCCTCACGCCAATTGCTATGCCTTTGCATTAGGTGATTGCGAGCCGCAATCATGGCAGAGGCCCCTCCGTTGCAAAAACCAGTCCACCATTTAGGGATTCATGAAATGGTGCCACATGAAGCATCAATTACACTCTTGGTTCGACATCTCCCAGAGGCAATTCCACATGATACCCTCGCCAGACTCTTCTCTCACTATGGCGCCTCTTCTGTTCGCCCCTGCACTTACGGAAGGTAGTCATAANTTGGTCCCCATTATTTGATATTATAATATTTGAAATAGTGTGTTTTTTTTTAAAGAATGGATGGTTGAAAAAGAAGGAAACTTTTGATTTACGTGTAATATTATTTTATTAAAAAATGCTTAGCTAAGAAGAAGAGAGAAAAATTTATTATAATTTTATCGAGGACAAACAGGGTTTAGTACCAAAATTTCAATCCTCTCCATGTCGACAAGGGTCGATGAGGAATAAGATATATTTAATGTCAATTTATTTAGATTGAACATCTACTTTTCTGCTTTTTCAGATACCTCAAGGAGAATAGTAGAAGAATTAATCTAAGTGTACAACATTGCTTGACAACAACGGTTGACAAGCACGTGTTGTCAGAATCCTAGTATATGATGTAGAAAACAGTTTTTTTAAAATGAATGGATATGATGATGCCAAATAGAATGTTGTCAACCAATATTGTACATGTAACATGATTCATAATAGAATGCACGCACAACATAGTTAGGCTTGTGAAAGTGTCGGCAAGGAGGTCCCATTCAAATTGACCTTTTTGTCTCAATTAAAAGTCCATAATTTGTGGCAGTTATATTGCTTGTGAAAGGAAAAAGATAATAAATGAGATATAACGAATGCATTTGAAAGTTATTGGCCACCAAATCAATCATTTGGATTGCAACATGTTTGTGTTAAGAGGATAATATGACCGTACAGTATAGTATACAGCAAACTTTGCTTTGGGGCTAAAATCTTTTTTATGTCGGAAAAGGTTTGCATTCAGATTTTAAGTCGCATTTTCATGAGATACCTCGTAACAGAAATACTCAAATTTGTAAATCAGCTGCGCAATTTTTTCATCAACGTCAACACTTGTCACCGTTCATCACACTTGTTTGTCCTTATTGCGTAAATCGCATGCATCTCATTTGAACTACACAAATCTAAAGATGTAGCGGAACTCTAATCCCAACCGATGCTTTGCATAACATGAAATTAACTAGAAAGGAGAACATACCTAAACAACTCGGCATTCTTAGAATATTTATGACTTCTAAGAAGACATGATTTCATTGATTCATGCACAACATCGAACGATCTGTGGATAATTACGAGAAAATTCTCCTCCTAATCATAATAAAAATATAGTCAATTCTAATATAATGAAGCAAAAAATTGAATAAATGAAAGACTTAACCCATCTAAGGGTGTGTTTGTATCCCATTATTGTGAGAAAAATAGAGTAATGAATAATATTTTTTGGAGGATGTATGGTTGAAAAGTGAAGTAATTTTATTGGTTTGTGTGTAGAATATTTTATTAGGCGAATATATGGTGAAAAATCTTATGTAACAAATAATTTTCTGGAATAATAGTAGACAAACATGGGCTAAATTTGTGGTCCGTTCACACTTTTATTTATTTATTATCTATCGAATGATCACCTCTCATGTTTGGGACTGAATCAATTTGTGTCCATGTACTTCTGCATGCAGACACACATTGTGCCAGACCTAACTTTTCAGGCTACGCAGAGCCATCTTAGTTGCTTTTTGGATTGCTGAAAATTAATAGGAATAGTAGCTAGTATCCATTTTTTAGTAGCCAAATTAAAGCATGAAAACTCCTAAATAAATGCAGTGCTCCTCTTTGTCGAAGATTTTCGAAAATATTATAAGTTGTGAGTCAAATGATCGACTTAAAATCTGATATTTATGAAACTGCACCAAACGAGAAGTGAAATATGTGACTTCCTCGTCTTTCCAAGAGGAGAAACCCAAATCCATAAGCTATCTCACAAATCTAAAAGAATATTACTATTCAAATTGGTAATTTCTTAGGCGTAGGTATCACAAATTGCACTCTTTTGTTCGTCTTCAAGTGCAGCCCCCATCAACCTCCATTTCTGCGATGGGACCCATGAATCTTCTTATTTATACCAGGTATACTGCCATGGAATACATAATTCGTTTTTTATATACTACGCACTCTTTCTTCTCTAATCGGTTCCTCTATGGCTCTCCTTCTTTCTCTCTTTCTTATTTTTGTGTTCCCATTAAGAAATAATGCTGAGGGTCCACCTTCTCCAGGGTACTACCCTAGTTCAAGAATTGGCTCAATAGGGTTCAACCAAGGATATAGCAATCGCTGGGGTCCTCAGCACCAAAGACTTGACCAGGGCGAACTCACTATTTGGCTTGACAGTACCTCAGGTACGTATCTATTCAAATTCTTACCCACAAAGGTTGCACGGAAACTTCTAAAACGCTAACGGTCCTCAATTTTCTTCGTTTGTTGTTGCAGGAAGTGGTTTCAAATCTCTTAATTCTTATAAATCCGGTTATTTTGGAACGGCGATGAAGCTCCAATCAGGCTATACTGCAGGAGTGATTACATCATTCTATGTGAGAAATTGAACTAATACTCCAACCTCCTCCCTTGATGAATTATGATTTATGATTTTTGTCTGTTTTGAATTGCATGGCAGCTTTCGAACAATGAAGATTATCCAGGGAACCATGATGAGATAGACATTGAGTTCCTTGGAACCACAGAAGACAAGCCTTATACTTTGCAGACAAATGTTTATGTAAGAGGAAGTGGAGATGGAAATATCATAGGAAGAGAGATGAGATTTCATCTTTGGTTCGACCCTACTCAAGATTTCCACAATTATGCGATTTTGTGGAACCCCACAGAGATCATGTGGGTGTAATTTTATTTACCCCGCGCTACTATTAATTTGAGTCATTTTTAGTTCTTTCGTTGAAAAATGGGTCGTTAAGAGCATTTTTAAAAGTGAAATTCTATATGCGGATTTTATGCAATAGAACATTTTAGCGCAAAAAGCCCAAATTTTTTTTTTTTCAAGATGATTAGATGAAGTTCAATTGTGTAATATATTTTGCAGTTGGTGGAATAAGTATTAATCGTAAAGGAGATTACCTAAGAGCTAGCTTTTTAGGTAATATTAAAGTGAAAATTAAAATGAAGAATGGAAATCATGTGAACAAAAATTAATGTTCATGATATGGAATAATCTTGTCCCATGCATGCAAATCTTGATGTCCTAATAGATACGTGTTACATAGACAATAAAAATATAATTGTCATACGATGTTGATGTATGCAGATTTTTTGTCGATGATGTGCCAATTAGAAGGTACCAGAGAAAAAGTGATGCCACATTCCCTACAAGAAATATGTGGGTGTACGGATCAATATGGGATGCCTCCTCATGGGCCACTGAGAATGGAAAATACAAAGCCGACTACAGTCATCAACCCTTTGTAGGACGGTACAAAAATTTCAAGATATCCGGCTGTGAAGCAAATGGCCCTGCCTCATGCCGCCCTCAGTCAGGTTCACCATCTGGCTCTAGTGGGCTGAGCAGCCAGCAGAATGAGGCCATGGCGTGGGTGCAACAAAATCACAAGGTCTATGACTATTGTCACGATCCAACTAGAGACCATACTCAAACACCAGAGTGCTAAGGGTGCACGGGTGATCGACAAATTCCCAAGTTAATGCTCATATATATGTTTAGTCATTTTATTTGGAGTATCTTGAGATGGGCCACTTGCCAAGAATAGATTAAAAGAGTAGGTGAAGCGTCCAAGACTCCAAGATAAGGAAGTTTTTCTTTTCTTTTTGTGTTATTTATTTAAAATAAACGATCTCGATACACCATAGAGATATGGGTACATAACACAGTTCAATAATATGCTAAGCAAGTGTATGTATTTCATTTTTATACCAAATGTTTTCGCGTTAATTATGTTTTGAAAATTAGAACTCGGCAAAAATTTTAGTAAACGTTTTAAAATTGAAAAATACAATTAAATGAATCACATAACAATACATTTATCATTTAATGTCACCTATATTAAAATATTACATTGCAAATGATTAAGTTTATGTCGTTTATTTGACCGATCAAAAATTAAAAAAGAAAAGTAAGAATGGCATCTATTCAATTTTGTTTGAGAAATTACAAACAAAAGAGTGATGTTCAAATAAGAGAAGCCAAGAAAAAACCTAATATAGAAAAATATCGTGATAAAATAGTCGACATCAAGAATGTTTGGTTTGCAGTTACTCTACGCCAACTACTTCCATTAACTTTTCTAATATCAAATAATTATTGTAATGTGAAACTAGGACTCTTAAACGCTTACATCAACTGTAAAAATGTGTTAAATCCATATATAGTAGGAGACTTATTAAAGCATAAAATACAGCCCTCTATAATAATGATGAACCAAGAACAATATATCAATGTTCAAGTTAATGACTTATAGTCAGAAAGTTGACCTACCGTTGGAAATGTTGGAAAAATAACTGATTTTATTGTACTAGTTATATATCAACGTGTGTTGCACATTATTCTGAAATATTTTATAAATTATGTAAAAGTAATATTTGAATATATGTAAATATAAAAAAGTTAAAAAATTATTTATGTGAAATGAACTTTTTATTCAATGAGAATCTCTTTGTACACTTTATTTATTTATTTATTATTCTGATTAGGGTATGTGACTTAACTAAAGCATTTGTAGTTGTCATAAAAATTCCTCATGAAAGTGCAACGTATAATTGTCCGTGGGAAAATACATAGAAAAATAATCATTATATATACGTGATCTTGAAAAAGAATTTAGATAAAAGGGTGTGTATATGAAACTGGAGAATTAAGTTTATATTATATATTAGATGAATAATCTTGAAAATAAATAAGTATACATGGATTTGAATAATTTATTGACTCCCATAGTAATTGAATATCCCCCAAAACATATAAAATGTAATTAATTTGCACCATTTTAATCTAAATATGAGATAAATACAAACCTTTGAAAATAAATGTTAATTAATATATATACACGTAAGTAGAGAAATACATAATCGAATGTTAAATACATATTGAAAAACGAAAAGTAAAGTATTGTTGAAATAATTGAATTGTAGTAGGGTTATAATCTTCGAAAAAATAATTATCACTTGATGTGATATTTTAAAGGGAAAATTAGTTCAAACCCTACTTATAAACTATACAATTCAAAATTCAGGTTTAAAAGTTCTTTATACAAAAATGAGGTGATAATTTAATTTTTTTAATATTATAAAAATAAATTAATTTACATAACCAACCAACCCCATCCAACCCAAAAATTAACCTTAACCCTTAAATCATTTTCCTTTCTCCCCCCTCTCTCCATCGTCTTCCCTCTTCTCATTTTCCACGTGAACTGAAGTCATCGTGGAGAGACCGTCGCCGAGAGACCACCGCCAACACACGACGGGCTGTGACACAGCAGCGTCGTCAGAAGCCACAACAGCATCTTCGCGTACTTCCGGCGATGACGGTGCCGCTATTCGTGGCGATGCTGCAGTGGCTGCTGCTCGACGCTGTGCTCTTCGTGCAGTACCTCATGCACAGAGTCGCGCAAAGCGGTCAAGTCATCTTAGCTGCGTAGAGGTGACGACGCTCAGTGGCAGCGTTGTCCTTTATTCTTCTTCCTGTTCCATTTTGCTCTGTATCTGAGTTTTGATTATTCTGTATACTGGATGTGGTGTATGTGATAGTTTGAAGATGAATTTTGGGATGATTTTGGATTGAATCCAATTTAGTGCTTAGTCTGATTTTGGATCATTTTATGGTGGTGATCGATCCGTTGTTGTGGCGGCGTTTTGAGGTGATTTTTGTAATGGTTGGTTGGTGGTGGATTTCGAACGGTGGTGATGGTGTTTATTGTGATGATGACTGAGATTGGTGGTGGTGGTGCGATGGTAGTGGTGGTGCCGCAGTGGTGTTGTTGGTATTGTGGTGGTGCCACATTGTGTTGTGGTGGCGGGGTAAAGATTGTCGTACGATAGTGTTGATGGCAACAATTTTTGAATTTGCATCGATAAATTTACAAGTCAGTATTATTATTGGATCTAATTAGCACAAAAAATGGCACTCATTCAATTTCTAAATACATAATTACTACATGCAATGAAGGTGACAATTTATGATTTCATCAAATGATAGGCCTTTTTGGTTTGACTTCCAAAACCCCATTTCATCAACCCCAATGCACATTTAAGTAGCCTAGTTAAGAAAAAAGGGTTCTTAAAAAAGTAGAATATTGGTAAGTGACACTTTTCGTCAAATTTTGTGGTAATTGTGACCGATTGTGACTTGATCATATATGGTCACAATTAAGATTCAATTGGTCACAAATAGTCACATTGAATACAAATTTGATCACAATTAGTCACATTGAATACAAACTTAGTCACAATTAGTCACGGATGATGCGTGTCAGTGACTTGATTATATAAAGTGACTTGAAATTTTCCGATAAATTTTTTAGAAGGTGGAGGTAGGGGTGGGGTGGGGTGGGGTGGTGGTAGGTGGATCCATGGGGTGGGGTGTGATTTCTAACTTTTAATTTTCTGAAAATTTTTCAGTCGCCAAGCAACCGCCAGAACTGTCATCAGAGCAGCTGCCGGAGCGATAACCGGAACTTTTACCGGAGTAGATGGCCACCTCCAATGGAGAGAAGGAGTAGGGAGATGATAGAGAGTAGAGAGAAAGAGAATGATTTGGATTTGAAATTTAATAAATTGGAGTAATTTTATTATATTATAATTAAAACTATTTAATAAATTGATTTAACACCTGATTTTTGAAATTTGTTATTTTTGAAATGTAATTCTTATATATAGGACTTATGTATTGTTCCCATTTTAAATATTATAGAGTAGCACAAGACATACATGAATTCTTACTAATGGGCCAATAGGGGAGGTCGTGGGTTTATTAAAAACTAACCCTCACCCGTTTAACATTTGTTTAAGAATTTCTAACATATTTAACTAAAATGGCCTAATTATTAATTATAATATTTATCTTTTTCTTCTCTAACTATCTTAGATCCATCCACGATTTAATTAAAGCAATAATAAAATTAACTAGAAAAAAATTTATGGCCCAAAACCTAGACATAAAACTACAAAGAGGAAATTACATGGGTCCAGGCATTTCAAGTTTACCGTGCAAAAATGAGGTATGAATTATATTTAATCAAAAATCAGGTAACTCCCAAATCCTAATTCATTTATATACCTATTCTCTCTTTCTCACACACACACTCTCTCTCCATTTCCCTCTTTTCTCGACCTCTCCCTTCTCTCTTACTTTCAGTTCCTCTCCTTTCTCTCTGTCTCTTCGAATGCCACTACCCATTCAAACGCCGACGATGGAGCTGCTCCGGCCGACACTACACCACAAGCCCCCGTCGTCTCCGGCGCTACAGATCGAGTAGGAGAAAGTGAAGCGAATCAAATTTTTTTCTTAATTTGATTTCTTCGCACAGATCTGTGGAGTTGTGTATGATTTGTGATGGTTGATGGCAAAGATTTGGCGTGGTTCGCTGGTTGAGTAATGGGGTAGTGTACTATGCAGTTGGGTGGTGATTTTAATGTTCCGGCGAGTTGCATGGTGAATGGTACGATGGAGGTATGCAATGCGGTGGTGCCGATGTTGCAGTGCGATGGTGGTGCTGTGTTTTGGTTGTGTTGGGGATTTTAGTGGTTCTTGTTGGTAGTGGGTGGTGCTAAGACTGGGATCGATGCTGTGAGAGAGTGGGGTGGATGGATGCGGTGGTGGTAGGTGTGTGTATTGTGGGTGCGGTGGTGATGGTGGCGCCACCGCTATAATGAAGAGGAGATCGGAACATCCGGTTTGTGGTAGGTTCGGTGATCTATACCACGGTTGTTGCTGGTCAAATCTGCTTGTAGTGGTTTTCATGTCGTCAGTAGTGGTGATTAGGTGCTGCGGTGGTGAAATGCCGGTGATGGTAGTGAATATACTTGGGATGTAGTAGTGGCGGTCGACTATGACAGTAGCAGTGGAGGTTAACTGTGGTGATAGTGACATGGTGGTGGTGGTGGTGGTGGTGGTGTGCTGCTGGCGACGGTCATAGAGTGAGGGTGGTCGCAAGTGGCGGTGGCGGTAGTATGTGACCCAATATTTGGTGTATGCGACAAATTATTTATTTATCTGCGACCAAGTATTAATCCGTGACCTTAAAATTCGGTAATATGTGACTAACAAAATCTGTGACCAACCATTTTGTTATATGTGACCTAAAAATTATATAAAATGTGACCGTGAAAAAATTTGTGACCAACAAATTTAGAAATCTGTGATTGTGACTTATAAATTTTGATTTGTGATCAACTAATTTTAAAATCTGTGACCAATGAATTAATTGTGACATACAAAATTTTTGAGTTATGACCATAAGTTGTAAATCTGTGACCGGAATAATTGTCAGAATCGGAGCAGTCGCCGGATCGGTCATTGAAACAGTCGCCGGAGAAGAGTGGTGGTCGAAATGATCGTCGGAATAATCCTCGGAGTTGTATGGGTGGTGTATGTGGAGTGGGTTAATTATATTATATAATATTAGGATTTATGATTAAATATTTAATAATAAAT